CCAGCCACATGGTTTGAAAACCATGGCTTTTATGAATAACATTGGTTTTGCCGATGTTTTTGGGCTCCATCCTGCAAAACCATTCAACAACATTGTTTCCATGAGTTTGGTGATCTGAGGCGCTCTCTCAGCCACATGGTCTGAAAAGCTGCAGGTAAATGCTTGTAATATCTTTGTATGGTAGTTTGTGACACATTGCTAAACCATAAAGATTATTAGCGTCAAGATAATTTATGTAAGATGAGGGTTTACGTTCATCATAATCCTCCCCCATATAGATTAATATAGATATTATTAGCTTCTGCTAGCTGCTAATCTGTGAGCTCCATCCTTCAAAAACATCGGCAAAACCAACGTTGTCCATGAACTTCGTGCTCCCAGCCACATGGTTTGAAAATCATGGGAGTTTTATGGATAACATTGGTTTTGCCGATGGTTTTCGGCTTCATCCATGAGTTTGGTGATCTGAGGCGCTCTCTCAGCCACATGGTCTGAAAAGCTTTAGGTAAATGCTTGCAATATCTGTAATATCTTTGTGTGGTAGTTTTTGACACATTGCTAAACCACAAAGATTACTAGCGTCAAGATAATTTATGTAAGATGAGGGTTTATGTTCATCATAATCCTCCCCCATGTATTTGTGACTAGCTTCTGCTGATCTGTGAGATACTTGACACATTCCACCACGAAGCCCTCTCTCAATCATGTTGTATAGCTCTTCATTATGTATTAAATCCAATTTAATTCCTGTTTTCAATATTAACAGAGCGTCCCAAGCAAATTTAGGCAATGTGTAATAATGTGCTGGATCTAATTCATAATCTATTAAACATTGTTTTCTAAAGTTTACAAACACATCGGTTAATGATACAACATCTGTTTTCCAATACAAGTCGTGATATTCACCAAGATCCTTAATGTTAAAGTGTTTCCATATATGTTTTGCCCTTTCATAATCTTTATTTTCTTCGCCTTCCTCACCCAATCTACTATAGAACTCCTTTTTATCAGGCCATGTTGTTTCGTTGAACTTCTTAAAATCATTCATGTAGTCATATGGATACACACCCTTATCTGTTAATAGATCTAGCTCATAATCATCTTTCACACATTCGCTCATCTTACTGTACTTAAAATGATCAGTCCAATCATCACGTTTTTTATTATCCTCATATTTAGCTAATTTAACAAGTTTATCTAATGATGAAGATAAGAAACTAAAACTATCCTTAAACTCCAACTGTTTAAGGCAAGGGGTAACAAACTTTTCGCTGTTTTGTGCTATTACGCTGACATCTTCTTTTTTATGTTGAGCTTATCAAGATTAGATATTCTAGGTGTGCGTCATAATTTTTAAGATTCTGGAAGAAGATAGGAATTTAAAGTACTTGAAACAATAATCTAAATTACATTTACTTTAGTGCACATACGATGCATACGAGCATACTGTCTTTTGGGGCTCGCTGCACCTCTGTGAAAGGCCTATGGCTGTCTCAGCAGCCCTGCCCCCCTGGGTGGGAGGGTGGGCTAAACATTTACAAGCCACAGTGGCTTCAGCGGACCATGCGCTGTGCATCTCCGTTTACAAAAGCCTCGGTTATTCCTAACCTTCCACTTTAGTGCACATACGATGCATACGAGCATACTGTCTTTTGGCGCTCGCTGCACCTCTGTGAAAGGTATGGCTGTCTCAGCAGCCTGCCCTTCACAGATACAACAAAAGAACTCGCCCCAAGCGAGCCGGCACAAAACTTTCGCTCAAGCCACTCAGGTGTAGTGCACTTTCTGCTCGACGTTCGCCATTCGGCGCGCTGTGTCCTTCAGAGCCACTTCGCCATCGTGCAGATGTTTTTTTCCCGGCAAACCCCTTCACCACGGCTGTGGCCCAGCGGGCAATCCAGAGAGTCCTCCACCAAGGTGAAACGAAGAAAGTCGCTCTAACCGCAACAAAGACCAACCAACAACAACCAAAAGCCACCATGGCCCACAAACCAACAGACCGAGCGAAAAGGTGAAACAGCACAAGGAACTACGCTCAGGCTGCCCGTTCAGCACTCGTCGAAGAGATATGGAGACGCGAGCCAAACTCCTCAAGAAGAGTTGGTTCTGCAAGGACACCAGAAGGTGCATCCAATGCAGGTTTCACAGAATGCGAACGTTGGCAGCAAGGTGCAGGCCAAGAGCAAAATGCGAAGCCAAGCACTCAGCGGCTCCTTGGTAGCCCAGTAAAAAACAGTGCGAAGTGATTCACTGAATTCACTGAAAAATGGATGGTTTCCAAGTTGTGCGAGAAGAGGAGGCACCCCCAGAGCTAGCAGACCTCGTAGACGTGGAGAGGCTGGCAGTACTGTGCACTGAAAGCGGGCATCGCTGGAAGAAGGCATAACCAACCGCCATCATCTTTTGCCCCTTAGACACCACAGAGCGTTCCTCCGAGGAATATTGTTGCTCAAAAACCTGATAAGGGATAGGCAGATGCCTCTTACTATGGAAATCGTAGAGGGCATACCAGCAAGGGCTGAGGTCATTCAACTGCCTTCTACGGTTGCCAGAAAGCCCGTCCCGAAGGGCCCAGTCATCCAGCTTCCAGTCCGAGCCAGTTTTTTGCGGACTTGCAGGCTGGCATTTGGGACCTTTTTTCGTGAGTGCTTCATAGGCGACTTGCCCAATGTCCGGAACGACGAAATCACGGTGAAGATCTATCGCCAGTATGGCTTCAGCACTGGCCGCTCGGTACAGACTGAAGTCCATGGGTTCTGGCTCGTCATCCGTGTCCTCCTCCAGCACGGCCTCCTCGATCTCGACAGAGCACCGCTGGAGCGGCAACCCAGCAGGTGCGGTGGCCCTCCGAGGGGGCACGACCGCGCTCCCCCCATGCAGCCCCCGTGATTTCTTGCGGGGAGGCACGTCCGAGAGCAAGTTTGGGAGGGCGATGGTAGTTTCGACCCAATGCTCCGGCCAAATAAGGTGCTTATAAGCCCAGGAAGCTTCGAGCTGCCGTACCGGAATCAAGCCGGCAAAAAGCAAGCGCAAAGCATCAAGGTAGTTGGCCGGCTCGCCACTGGGATCAAAAGGCGAATGGTCATGAGTATGTGAACGGAGAGATTGCCCCAGCTCCATGTAATGCCAAAACCCCACCCGAGTATACCTAGTGAGGTCGGCCTGGCGCTGGGCCGTCTGCAAGGTCTCACTGGTCAGCGATGAGGGCAGGTTCGCTCTCCACTTGTCCAGAAGAACTTGCGTTGGGGCGCCTTTGCCCATTTTGTGATAATCATGGCGGAAAGGCGAGTCAGGAGTGGGAAAGACCTCAGCCAGGTAAGCAAGCGCACAGACAGCAGCAGCAATAGGGACATTAACTTGGAAATCGAAGCCACAGAGCTGCCCAGTTTGTGCCCCTATGTATACCGGCAGATCAGAGGCCCGATGCGCATGCCCCTCAACATGCTCCTCGAAGGCTTGTAGAATTGCGCCGATCCAGAAGTCCCGATCCTGGTACCGGAGTATAGAGACGAACTGCCCAGCTTTCACTCCTGGAAGCTCATGAATTTTGGAAAACAGGAGCGAAAGCGAGGCAGCCGTGTCATGGATTGCCACCCCCAGAAAGGCGCGCCGCAAGTGCGGGATGACGTCCCGTCCAAGGGGAGAGACCTTTTGCCATTGGATTCCCGGGAAAAGGTGAAAGCATCGGACAAAAGCCACAACTCGGCCGAGTAACGATTCTCGGTATTCCAAGGTGGCAACTGGGATGCCCACTGGGAGAGCGAGCATTGTATTTGCAGAGGCCATGAGGCCGGGGGCTTTCTCAAGCCTGGTCGGCTGGCAGTCAAGTAATACTCCGTCAATGCCGCTTCTTGCTGGGTGGGAGTGACCAGATGCTGAGCGTCCAGCAGCTGCTTGTACGGCTCGGGCCGGAGGGAGCCAAGCGGCAAGGTGCCAGTCGTGAAATCCGCTTCAATCCTCGAAGCGGCAGTTTCTTCGCATCGTGCAGATACCTCTGCACTGCCGATGAGCTCCATCTGCCTGTCCGCTTCACCAACTCGATCTCCCCAGTTGCTTGGAACAAAGCTGAAGCCCCTCCAATCCTCAATCAGTGGGACATGAAACGGGCAGCTGGCAATCCACACGCCTCTGCCGCCCGCTGAAGGACGTTCTGCACCTGGACACGCTCAGCATCTGCCTGTTTGCCCAACGAAGCAGTGGGCGAAGGGCCTCACTGCCTTGCTCAAATCTCTGAGGAGCTGCTCGGCGCAATCGCTTCAATGCTTCAACCACACAGAGGTAGCGCACCTGCTAAACTCTGTTTTCTCATCCAAAAGGCGCTGCGTGCACAAGTAAACAACTGCATCACTGAATCCCTTAGGGCTCGGGTCGGTAGGGGTTGAAAAACTTTACACCCCGCCTCGATGTTGTGCGAACTTAGCTCAACATCACCTGTACACACGGGTTTCCTTCATACACTTTCTACATCTTGAAATTTGTCTAGCGTTGGGCTCATCCGGATTTGCAGGGATGTACCGCAGAGGAGGCATCGCTGGTCTGCGGCATTTTCCCTTTGTTTGTCGGGCGATCAATCTTTTTCTCTCCCACACCATAGACACTACTTTCCATGCTTTTGTTGTCCTGACAATGTCGCTTCACCCATGCATCGAGATCGCATGAACGAGGCACTTCCTAACTGGATTGCGCCGTGGACAAGTTCCAGAACGGGGCCGTCTGATGGTTACCATAGAGACTCTCAATGGGCCAAGGACCCGACCAACACCCCTGCCATCGCTCTTAGAGTCTTAGAGATGTTTGGCACCTCTTTCACAATCAGTGCTTATACATCCGGCAATTGTTGTCCTTCATCCCCCCTGAAGCTGCCCCGAGTAACTTTGCTCTCATTATTGTTCTGGGATCTCCTTGTCAGGATTTCACGACCATCGGCCATACCGGAGGCTACCTGGGTCTGTGCGGGAATAATTCAAGGCATCTGCTTGCGCTATATGCCTTGCTACGTGTCCTTGACACTGCCAACCCACTCCTCTCGCGATGTGTCATTCTTGAAAACGCTGGATCCATGAAGACTTTTCACAAGGATTTCCTCATAACCCTTTTCGGCATACCGCCCAATAGCGTCCACTTGATTGACGGCGCCACGTTTGGGCAGGTCGAGCGGAAAAGGAACTTCTTCACCCGATACAGCTTCTATGCCACTCCTGCAATAAGGCCACATCCATGGTTCTTAGGTTGGAGACCTGTTGGCGAATTGTTTTCAGGGATCAAGGCCTATGTACGGGCGGCGAAGCCGTGGACTAAGCCGCGCGATTTCACTGATGCGCACGGCCTTGGTCTCTCCTCCTTCCACTATCTCCCTCAACACCTCCTCTACCATGTTCCTAGCTTCGGCGGCACCCGTGCTTTTCAGTCCCTTTGCGCACAGGCTGTTGAGGATCCTGATGCAGCCCCCGGTGTCAACTTTGCCTACCACCTGGACGGACACCCCCAGGCTCGCTACCTGGCGCAGTTCGTCCAGGCAGTTGCGCATAAACATCTGGCCACTCGAGAACTTGATCCCCAGGTCGGCAATGTGGTTCACTTGCTTCAGGGTGATAATGCTGTCAGCCTCGGGCAACCCCACACCCCCCTTTTCGGGTTGCGCATCTTCGAGAAATGCTTCGAGACTCTGAACTAGAGGAATACCTCGCTGAGGCCGAACAGTTCTTGAACGAACGAACACTTGGCGACATTGTCGGCAACTGCTTCTACCCGGCTGCGCTGAAGGCGGCAATCGCTCACGATTCTCTTAGCAGCCTACTTCGCTCGGCAGAAACACATGAAGCGTGGAAAGTCTTGTCATACCCTGACTTCCTCACAAAGTGGCAGGAATACTGTTGTCTGGTCCGAAGCAAAATGTTGCAACAAAAGGCTGACACGGCACAGTGTGCTCCCGCTGAGAACATGTCCCCTTTCACCATGTCTTCCCTTAATGAAGTCCCTTTTTGGCAGGTCTTGCAAGCTCTCTCCCTCCTCTCCCGTTGTTCTTCAATATCATGCTGCCCAATGCACTTATAGGGGCTTTCTCAACCCTGCTTCCCGTCCCCCCCTCTCCCTCCCTCGCATCCCATGCCGACCGCTGTGTTGCCACGCACACAGCATCTGTCATTTGTCCTACCCTGTTTCACCATCCTTCCAAACACTCCTCTCCACCGCTAGCAACTCCCCCCTGGTATACGTTGGGCACACTCAGGATTCTGCTGGACTTTGCACGACAGCGTACAGCCGCCTCCCCGAGCACTGTTATCCGCACCTTTGTTGATTTTCCTCGACACCACGGAGGCCGGTGAAGATGATCCGTACCCACTCGGCTCGTTCCCGTGCACAAAGTGCCAAGCCGTCGTGGCAAAGGGGATGCTGTTCAGCCTGAAGTGCAAGGCACCCCAGAGTGATGACACGACGAAGGTGACCAAGAAGTTCTTCGAGAACAAGGGCCTTCGCATGCGGCTTCTGGCGACAGCTGCAGCAGGATCGAGAAAGCCCGTTGAGAACTTGATCAGTGCAGATTTCAGGCAGCTCAACGCCAGCGCTAAGAAGCGGGGGCAAATGTCTGCCGAGGCTACTGTTATCCGCGATGCCAAGGATCGCGTGATCAGAGCCAAGAAGCTCAACCACACAAGTGTCGCGGAACGCTGGGAGAATGACGATGTGTTCCAGAGGCGTATGATGCAGGAGGGAAGGATCCGCGAGGACATGTACCGCTTCGACTGCATCGCCCTTGCATGCTTGCCGGACCGCGGCCGAAGCGAGGAGCAAAGGGTCCTTCGGGCAGGGGCTCACTTCTCAGCGTCCTCGCACTCAGAGGCCCCAGCCCATAGGGTCCATGTTCTTCCCAGGGCAGTACATTGGAATGTCCTTTGAATAGGAGTACATTCGCCCCAGGTGCTTGTGTCCGTGCAGTGAGCGTGCTGGCCGGCCTCTGTTGCCGCTCCCAGGATCAGTGTGGCTGGAAGTGTACATTAGATGACACATGCCAGCTTTAGCAGACATTTTGTGCAGTCGATAGCATGTGCATGTATGGGTTGCCACAGGTATCCACACAAGTCAGTTTTGAACTCCAGTTTTTGTCGCTGCTTCCAACATGGGGCTGCTGCGGGCGGCCGTTGTGCTGCACCAGAAAGGTGCTCCGCACTCTGCTTATGCAGTTTCGGACTTGAGCATGAGACAGGAAATCTTGGAATGTTGGAGTGCAGTGGTCCTAGCTCTTGAATGCTTGGTACATTTGTGCTTCGACTGCTTCCTGCAGTGTTTTCTTTTAAAGCAGCTCCCACTGCCTAGATGGGCCGTGGTGGGGGGCTGGTCATGGCGGCCTTTCTTTCCGAAGCAGATGCTT